CGGAACGCTAACTGAACTGTCTCTCACGCAGACTCCGGTGAACCAGTTTTCCAGGCCAGAACCAGAACCAGACATTATCTTGGTGCTTGTGACAATAAACTCTGTTAAACCTTTTACTCCAGTTTCCGTCTCAGTGGTGTTCTGCATAATTGGGTCACACCAGTGAACCCATCATGACAACGCTCCTCGGGTCAGCTTCTGTTAGAGGTCCCTAGGTCAAGACTCAAACAGTGGGGCGATCGTTCATTTTGCCGTCGCTGCTCCCAGACTGTGGAACAAACTACCCCCTGACATCCGCACCACTACTGACCTCAGCCTTTAAAAAAAAAAGCTTAAAACCCACTTTTTTGTAATTAGCTTTTAATTCTGACTAGAATAATACTGTCTCTTAGATGTCGTCTTTCCATGTGCTCCTATCTATGCCCCTCTGGAAGGCTTTTAATGTCCTTCAGCACTGCGCCAATACAGCACTTTTAATTGTATCTTGTATGTTTTATATGTGTTATGTATTGTTTTATGGCTTTGTTGTAAAGCACTTTGGGTACCGTTTGGCTATTGTAAAGGGCTATACAAAGAAATTTTATTTGATTTGATTAAAGTCATTAAAGTCAACGTCTAAACAGCATAGCATGGATCCAGTTACTGAGCCCACTGCAGAAAATTCTGCAAAGTTTGGATTTTTGCAGGATGGCACAGAAGGCCCATGTAAAGAGCCTGGAGATACGCTAGATAAAGAGGAAGGAAAGAAGAAAAGAACCTGAGTTGGTTGATTGGTCAGACAGTTCTGTGATCCCATCAGGTAAACAACTTGATAGTATCTAAAAGATGCTCAGTCTGCTTTAAAAACTCACTTCTGATTAAACTGACAGATCTAAAATCACCAACAGTTTCAGAGCCGCTGGATTCAGGAACAGGATCTTCCAGGTATTGGACCAAGTTCCGATAATCAAAGACAGAGACAAGAATTCAGAGCTTCTATTCACAACATGCAAGATGGTTACTTACATTATAGCCTGGAGTGCTGGTGCTGTTATCATTTATTAGACTCAGAACTGGGCTTTTCACATCGACCCAGAAAGTCTTGTAACTCTCCACAAAGGAAGCGCTGCAGGGACAGGAAGAGACAAGCAGCAGTGAGTCAGACATTCCTGGACCAGAACACAGTAGAACCCGTCTCCTCCTTACTGGAACTGGACCGCCTCAATGCTTCCTACTGAGTCGGGTTTCCATTTCACTTGGATGTTGGTCTTGGCGGAGTCGGATGTGTGGGACACCGCTGCTTTCTGCGGAGAAACACAACCAGTTTTGGTCTGTTAGGTTCTGCAGCTCTGAGTTCAGGGTGGGATGTCGAACACTAGAACCGATCTCATGGAGAACATTTAACGAAGTGGGTTACCTCAAAATAAAGAACTAAGAATAGTTATTATCCTCCAGGTTTACCTGAAGGAAGTTGGCCCCCCCACCTTCTTCAAATCAGACAAAATTAGTGTCAAACCTTTGTGCTACGTTTGTGCTGATTTGTGCAGCCACACTTTTTGTTTGTGCCGCTATCATTTAAAAGATATAAAGAGATGTTTCTAGAGGTCATCAAAGGTCAACCAGCCCCCCCACCTTCTTCAAATCAGACGAAATGGGTGACAATTAACTCAGCTCAGTTTGTGCTGTTTTGTGCAGCAAAAATTTTCATTTTTCATTTTTTTACAGTTTAAAATGATATAATCATAGGTTAGCAACTTATAATTT